CCCGATTTTTTCGGAGGCAGAAAAATATTAATGCAGGTCCATGTTTTGACCATACAAATGTCCCGTCCAATTTTCGGCATTTGGAAGGTTTTAGCCATATTTTCCAATCTAAAGGGATGTAATTTGGAAAACCGGGTTCTTGGAAGGTTCACACCATCTTTGTAGAGCAATTTTACTATAGGTCCATATTTTGACCGCACGCAGCATCGCCCCCATTCCGGGCTCATGAAGGGTAAACAGATTTGCTGACAATTTTCAATATACCTAAGTTTTAACATAACCTACTTTCGGTATTTAAAAGGTTTTAAGCACACTTTCAAACTGCAATGACTGTAATTTGGCATTTTGTAACCTTGAATCTTTGCTGAAAATTGTTTAAACAACGTCAGACCCATGTGAGTGGATTTTCAGAAATATTTATTTTAACCACTTTCAGGTCAGGAACAGTAGGCGTGGATTTTTAAGAATATTTTTCTCAAGCTCTGTCAGAGCAGTAGGCGTGTATTTTTAAGAATATTTTTTCTCAACCACTATCAGAGCAGTAGGCGTGGATTTTTATGAATATTTTTCTCAACCTCTGCCATAATAGTAGGTGTGGATTCTTAAGAATATTTTTTTTAATCACTGTCAAGTCAATAGGTGTTGGTTTTGTTTTCACTATCATGCTATTTTTTTTTACAAAATAGTATACACTGATTGAGAGCCAACAGGTGTGGATTTTTTTAAAGAATACTTTTCAATGACAGTTTTTAATATCTGTAAGGATGTAGACCCAATGGCTTATTTTTTAAATATTTTTCAAAACCAACAGGCATGGTTTTTGCAATATTTTGGTACTTTGAAAAAGTGACCTATACATGTGGCCACTGAAAACGAGAAATCCCAAATTCAGGCAATTCGGTTCCAAAATTTGATTTTAGGGATAGTATCATAACCTTAACGCGGAATATGTGATGCTGTTCTTGTCAGGATTTAAATTCATTGAAATACGTTGATCCACAGTGCTTCATCTCTAAAATCCATTAAAAACAAATTTCCTTTCAATATTATTTCATGCCCCTCCTTCCCTCCGCTTCTCTTCAAATCATTCAACTCTTAATTAATTTACGTTTCCAAATGATCTACTTTGTACTTAATAGCCAATTAAAAAACAACAGCCGGACGAACAAACAAACATTTACCAAAGGTGCCGCCATTAAAAATTTTGGATTAGGGGTTACAGCCTTCAATACAACAATTGCAGATCATTTATTAGTTCATTGTTTTATTTTGTTTTTAAATATTTTTTTCTCCGCTTTATGTTTGATTACAAAATCCAACTTTCAAATATCGAATAAATGTACCCCAGTACCACGATTTTTTTTTTCAGAAAAAAAACTAAAATAAACAAAACTTCAATAAACAATGAATGCAATGGCCCATTAAACTATATCCACCACACTCCTCTTTACATCACTGACATTCACTTTTGCTTTTGTTAAAGAAACCCACAAAAAAGTATTCGATTTGTTACTCCTTTATTAAGGCAAAAAATGGGCAACAAATTAAGAAAAATAAACAAAAAAAAAGTAAACCAAATGAGCAGGCAAATTCGCAAGTTTATAAAAATAAAGTTAAATAAAGCTCAAGGAAAGAAATGATACACATAACCGGAATAATAACAATAAAGTGTATATTGAAGTGAAAACATACAATAGGAAATTGTTACTACACCAAAGTAATAAATTAATAAAAATAAAGGATATAGTTTCTTAAACGATTATTTGGAGTTTTACATTGTCATATACATATATAATATGGGGAAATTACAATCAAAAATGTGTCGTACGTTTAAGCTGTTATTTTTTTGTGAATAAGAAGTTTCGTGTTGTTAGGTAACTATTTGAAACTACACTATTTTAATTTTACATCAAATCAAGGGATCATACAAGCAGGAGAGGGCAAAATTTGTCCATCCTAGAACATTATTTATTAAAAAGTATTCAAAGACAAACTAGATACCTTCTGTATATACTTATATATACTTATCACATAAGTTGGAATGGGGAAAATATCAACAAGTTTCCAATGGGACCTTAATAAAAAATACAAGCTTTGCTAAAAAAAATGTACTGTAATTTTGAATTTCCTTCCCATGTTTGGGGCATATTTTCCTTCAAAACTAGCATCACAACGATCCATGGGATTATAAATTGGGATAATAAATGTATTGGTATGGCGTGCATACGAAGATTAGTTAATTAAATTGAAAAGATTTTTCACACAGAATTACATAATTTGTTTAGGATGACCATTCTTCCCCAATCATTGATTCTGTGCTAATTTCTATTCATAAAACAGAACAGGCCCATTATACGCGACGCTGTGATTTAATAAAGAGAAATTGATGAAAACAAGTTTTTGGATCGGCCAGGCAGAATGCTGTATATCATTGTATAGTTATGAGATGAGCATTCAAAAAACGGTTCAGATTATTATGTAGGAAATTTGGGTCGATTGTGAAGGTTTTTCACACAAACTTAGATTGACACAAACTTAGATTGACAACATAACGAAATTCGTGCAGATCTATGCCAAAAATATTGACCACTTGATAAGAACTTTGTTCAAATCATGAACCTTCATTAAACATTTTTTCGAAGACATTTATTAATCATAGAGATCTCCAAATATAATATTACAGCCACCTTAGTTTGAAAATACGCCAATGACCTTCAACATACCGGGGCAATGTCAAAACATGGACCGATATTGACGATTCTCTGCAAAATATTTATTTACCCACAAAAATCCAGAAAGTCTAATTATAGCAACATCAATTGAAAATTATCGTAGGACCCTGAAAATACCTAAACTGAGGTGAGACCTTTATATGCAGGTTATGTCAAAACATGGACCAATATTGGACGTATTTTCGAAGAGAGTTTTTACTCATAAAGATGCCACAATGCCAACTACAATCCCTTCGATTTGAAAATCGGCTATGGCCATTCAAATAATTAAAATGAGACGGGGAGTTATTGGAAAATTTGGGTCTAAATGGTAAAATTTTCGGGAAGATATTTACCCACAAAAATCCGGATAGTCTAATTATAGCAACATCAATTGAAAATTAGCGTAGGACCCTGAAAATACCTAAACTGAGGTGAGACTTTTATATGCAGGATATGTCAAAACATGGACTAAATTTTGAACGTATTTTCGAAGAGAGCTTTTACTCATAAAGATGCCACAATGCCAACTACAGCCACTTCGATTTGGAAATCGGCTATGACCATTCAAATAATTAAAACGAGACGAGGGAGTTATTGGAAAATTTGGGTCTAAGTGGTAAAATTTTCGGGAAGATCATATTCATATTGTTATTCACCAAGAACTCGTAAAGGCAAATTACTGTCAATTTGATTGGAAAATTAGTTAGGAACATAAAAGATCTAGAATTTTAGATTTGTATCATATTTATGGACACATTAAAATACCTAACATCGCGCGGGGTCTATGTGAAAATATTCATACTTCAAATTTTCATACTTCTTCTCGATAAAAAAAACACACACACACATTTTTTTTATAATTTGTAGTTCCTTGGCCTGGTTTAGACACAAATATCATTGGGTTCGGAAAAACAGTACAATCCCGGGTAAAAAAATAGTTGTCCTCGCCAAAAAAATATATAATCATTTACCATATCATAACATGAAGTGTATATTCATTATTTATTCCGCACCTCTTAATATTCTACGTGATCTGGTTGTCTATATATTGACATCATATGGCCGATTTTCGGGTAGATATATGTCGGTATCAATATTTATAAAATAATTTTCTTGAAAACTTTTTGAGGAGGACGGACGTATACAGCCGATATTTCCACTAAAACTTAGGTTAGGTAAAAAAATAAGGGGTTCAATCGATCTGATTATGGGCAAAGTTTAGACCAATGTATAGGGAAAACCCTGAAGGGATGACAAATGGAACCACATTCATATTAGATATAGATTTGGTAATAATATATTAATGTTTCAAATGACATTTACAAATTTTTTGATAGTTGACCCTTTATGGGAGATCAGTTGCTTATTTTCCTACTTGATCTAGGTTTGGTAAAAATATTACGATGTGCAAAATTTTGATCAAATCGTACACTAATAAGTTTAAAATAAGTTTTTCAACATGTTGACCCTTTATGGACAAGCAACCTGCAGGGATGACTAATGGATTTCATTATCAGATTTGATCTAGGTTGAGTAAAAATAATATGGTGTGCATCGGATACTAAACAAGTTTAAAATAAGATTTTCAATATTTTGACTATTTATGGGGAAGAAGCCTGAAGGGATGACCAATAGGTTGCATTATGATACTTGATATAGGTTTGTACAATTTTTATGATGTGTAATTTGGATTCTAAATTAGCTCTACATGTGATTTTATAATTTTTCTAAATGATCCCCCTTTGTAGGTGAAGAGGCCGATTTTCTAAATCTACATCAAGTTTGTCAATGAGGTATCTTTTCATTGTATAGTTTGTGATGAATGATCGTAGAACATTTCACTAACAAAATTAGTTTATTAAAACTGTGATTGAAACTGGCAGCTTAAAAAGTAAATCAGTAAGCTTGTGTCTGAGTTTATTACACGTTTTTTTTAACTTTTTACTAATAAAAAAGTTTATTCACAGTTTTAATAAACTATTTTTATTAGTAAAACGTTAAAAAAAACGTGTAATAAACTCAGCTTAAAAAAATAAAATCAATACTAGCAATCAATGTAAATTTTTATAAAAAAATACAATTAAAGATGTTTTGCCGTATTTTCGTCCAATATTTACTTTTTTAGATTTATCGGATTTCAAATTTTCATCATAATTGTTTTTATAAGCACTCTTTGTTAGTAATGAAATATGTTTCGCAAAAAATGTTCACTTCAAACATTTATATCCACTATTCGTAATTTTGTTAACCAGGAAATAGCAAGAAGAAAAATTTCAATGAACTTACCTCAGCATTAATGGGATTCAAATCGGCTTCATTGTCGGCAAATTGCAGGGTTACCAATGGTCCATCATCATTGTCGGCTGCCCGTATATAACGTCCTGGCATAGCTGAGCTAACATGGAATAGGCCCAAAGCTAGCACAAAGGCTAAACTGCATTTCATTGGTTGCATTTTTGTTAATGTGTGTGTGGAGGGTTTTTTTCGTAAATTTATATTTTTTTGGAGGTGCTTTTTGATTTCTCTTTACACTAGTTGGCTCGAAGCTTGATTGCTTTACTGGTTGTCGGTTTGAGATTCGTCAAGAAAAACAAAAAACGGAAAATGCATTAACTTTTATTCCTCAATGGCGTTTTATTTTACACTGAAATGAAAAAAATGGGGAAAATTTTTTATTAAAAAACCTTATTTGTTATTGATATTTAAAAGAGAACTTCAAAAGCCTTACTGGGTTTGAAGGCCTTGCTTTAGTTTTTTTTTATTTTTCTTTATCTAAAAGAAGTTAACGAAAAAAATCTGTATTACCAAAATCACAAACACGACACGCTTAATTTTTGGCAGGAGCAACTTGGTGTTAGCGGTGGTAGCTAAATTTTACGTTATTACTGCGTTCAGTAACTATAAGCAAATGACTGCAGACATAAGTTTTGCCAGTGATTTAGCAGTGACCAAAAATTGCGCTTACAACGGCCCACAGCCTGTTGGTACACTAACACCATCACACATTGGCCATAAAATACATCAACACCTCACACCTTCTAGCACTCAGCCCCCAAATTATGCCATACGGCTGGCTGACTGGTGGCTGCAACGTTGCCCCAAAGCACAAGGCAAACCACCATAAAAACCAACCATCCATCGAGAGTCCAAAAAGTAGGGGAGGCAATTGATAGATAGATATGCGGGTATGGAAACTATTAAAGGGGAGCAAAGAGGATGACATTACAACTTTTGATGGTATTGGTAACAAGAGTTGATTAAACTTCCAGAAGCTCAATTGACTGTCTGCGGTGGTGTTTAAGTGTGTGTGTGTGGGTTTTTTCTTCTCATTCTTGTATTGAACCAAATGCGCTTTTTGGCTAAGAGTATTAAATCGGCTAAGGCTAAAAGAGCTAAGCCACACTGAAGAGTTAGTAGTCGGGTTAGCTACTCTCTCTTTTTTAGACCCAAACCAGTAACAACAACCAAAAGTCTGCTTATTCGAATGTCATTGATGATCAATAAACATGGCATGGTGGCTTAATCAGTGTAATGGTAGTAGTTTGGAACTCGTCACTCTCTCTCTTTCTTATGAAAACTCTCGATTTCATAGTGAAAAAAAGTCACTCAAATAAAAATTGAGTGATTTCATTTCAAGCTGACCAACATATCTGGCAGCTGATAGATATTTCAAAAGCTTTACCAACGCCAACCAAACACCAACACAAAGGCGCCATGAGAGCGTTGTTGTTGCTGTTGTTCATTACATACACAAACACTATAGCTGGAGCGTTTATCCACTTTAGCTTGACAATTTGCATCTTATGAATGCATTCGCTTGAGAGAATTTTGCGCCATTTGTTGTTGTTTAAATTAAGCATGGATTTAATTCGCACAACTTTTCATTTTGATATAAGCGTGTGTGTATGTGTATTTGGTTTGATTACTGCGCGAATCCAACCTTATTGACCCCATCCATAAGTCCATCTCAATTTTTTTTTTTTGTTTCTTGTTGTTATTATTGTTGTTTATTTGATAATTTAATTATGTGACATTAATAACCCAACTCGTTGTGGTGGCCGTTTTTTGTGCAATCATCAAATGTCGCTACTGCAACTTTTTTGTTGTTAATGTGGCGTTTATTACTTTTTTACATAATTTATTTTTGTTTTTGATCAAAGGTTCTAAGATATTGTTTTAAGATTTTTTTATAAAATATGCAAGGTGTATATTAATTACACACTTAATAAACGTTTTATAGAATGAATTATGTTAATTATACATTTAATAATCTTTTAAAAAATGTGCTGTCGTTGAGAAATTTATTAGCAGTCGAAATAATCCACATGTATTAAATAAATAAGGATGGCACTTATTTAGAAATTATTTGATTCTCAAAGTTAAATAAATAGATTTCGTTATGTTCGGCCGAACGAACTTTTTATAACATCCACGGTGTATCGTCTGAGATTTAAAATATTTTTTCAAGGGCTGTCAGACGAATGGGCTCGCATTTGTTAAGAAACTTTTTGAAGACTATATGAACAATAAGAATATTGTCATTAACGATTATCAAACAAATATGAGTGGATTTTTTTGGCATATTTGTTTAAGGACTGGTATGATAGTCCTTAAAAATGTTCTTAAAAAATTATTGATATTCTTAAAAAATTCTCGCTTTTTGTTCCTATATTCGTAGATTTTTCAGAATATTCAGTAGTTTTGGTGGGTTTTTGGGATACCATTTGTATTTTGTTTTTGCAAGATAGTCAGGCTGAACTTCTCATTGAGGTCGTATCGCTGGTAACGTAAGAACTTCGATTTGTTACAAGAGAGAAGAAGCTAGAAATAGCTTCAGGGGAAAATATACCAATAAAAGATATTTAAAAATTTTTATGGACTATTGGATTTATATAGTGGAATTTTTAGGAATATTTTTTAAGTTATTTAACGTATAAATGATTATTAAGTGAGGATTATGTATGAATGTTTTGCATGGATTTTCAGATTTATAAGGATGGGTTTTGTGAGAATGTCCATTTTTAAATACTATCAGACCAATAATAGTAGAATTCTCTAAGAATATTATTATTACGATACCAGTAATTGTGTATTTTTTAACCACAATCTATAGATGTGGATTATTAGAGAATATTTATACCCTACATAACTATGTTGTCAGTGTATTATAGTGTTGTGCAGCTCCAAAAGCTTGTAACTCCGCGAAATATTTGTCCTAGACTCGCCTTTAAGTTTATCGATTGTCATATCTCGACTAGTTGAGTCGATCCGTCCATATGTCCATTATAATTTGGAAACACGATATAGGCCACAGTTATGGACCAATTTTCACGAAATTTTGCATATAGGGAGGGTTCGGCCCAATGAAGACTTAATTTTTGTCGGGTTTTCTGGTCGCTCCAGAGGTTGCAATTATAACCCGAACATCGCGAAATGTTACATGAGGGGAAGGTGATCAGGCCAAAGAATAAGCAGGTCAAATGGACCTGACTTTTGTGTGAAAAATTACAACATTTGTATTCTATGGCGTATATATTTACCCCTGAAGTGGAGAAGTTGATAGAATATCCAAAAGCAGTAGTTGACCTTTATATTGATAACAATTATATTGTCGTAGGTACTCGGATGTGGGAGTTACACTTAAATATTTGCAGGTGTTTACATATTCATATATTATGTAGTAACCCATTACCACGCTAAAGTGCTTTGAAATTTCCCATGAGGATCCAAATATTATCAAGGAAAACGCCTATAATTTTCGATGATGATGAGATAAAAATTTTGGGATGAAGTAGACGAAAACATAATTTTTTGTGTTTTTTTTTTTTTTTTGAGTTGATCTGATCTATACGCCACAATTATAAGCCGAACATTACAACACAACATAGGGGAATCTGGACAAGTAATTAGACGGGCTGTACTGAATATTAGTCTTATTCGGAAAATATGTCAGTGTAAGGAAGAGGTGCTGTTGATCTCTACCGGGCAAGAGGTTGCAAATATCGCGAAATAGTGCCCAAGATCAGAATATAGAACCACAGAAAGATAGATTTCGTGAACGTTGTGTAGGGTATCATATGGTCGGCGCCGTCCGACTGTACTGTTCCGCTAACTGATTTCTCTCAATATTTAACGTATCAAATGAAACAAGCATTTTGTGTAAAAAATTAAAATATTTGCATCTTATGTCGTACATTTTTATTCCGGGAAATATGTTCCAAAAAAGTTGCCAGTATATAAGAGAGGAACTTACACTACTAATAGACGAATATGGGAGAAACACTAAAATATTAGGTTGGGAAAAAATAAATACTTTTTTTGGCAAATATTTTAAAGCAGTTATGGTCGATTTTTAGCTCCTGGGCGATGTTACGAACATGCAAAAACACATTTTCACATAACCTTTGCGAGGTGCATCTTAAACATCAAAAATTGCACATAACTGGAACCATAGACGCCATTCACAATTTTAGCCGCTTGGCTTCATTTTCGCCATTGTCAAAGAAAAAGTGTAAAATGTACCGAATTTTATGTTGACTTCCATTTTTAACATCCTGTAACTCACAACTGAATGTACCAAACAAAAAACAGCAAAATTATTTTTTACTGCGAAATGCCACCCTTCCAACGAGCATAAACCATCTGCCGAAAAAATAATGGATTTTTCCCCCAACCTAATATATTTATATTACACCACCATCACAGTAGATGTTTCCAATATCGCGAAATATTGTCCAGGCTCGAAATTTGAATCCGGAGAAAGTTAACGTTCAGTGGTAGTCCGCCTTTATTGGTTTTAAGAATACGTTTTCAAGGGCTATCGGACCAATAATCTTGTTTTTTAGAAATTTCTCTGGGTCTACCAGGTCCATACACTTGAATTTTATTTTATTCCAACCATTTTAATTTGTAATCAAACTACAGCCCAGTTACATATTTCGACGATAATATTGTGTAAACATAAGTACAGGTCACAGTTCTGCCCATAGTCGATCATATTTGGAAATGATCGGTTAATAGCTAGTGAATATTTTTTAAAATTACATTGGTTAAAATTACTATATAGCATGCAATATTGATAGAGCTTTCGGAAATATAACGGTACCTCGAATACTGGACTTCTTGAAGATTTTGTGCACGTTTTTCGAACTAATCAGCTGTAATTAGGTATTTTCGGTTCCCACTGGCTAGAAATTTTTTCAACTAAAGATTATTAATATGGGTCCACTTTTAACACTACCCCCTATATTTCAAAATTTGGGAGTTGAAATTTGGGTGCATTTTACAAACGAATTGGTTCAAAAACCACCCCACCAAAAAATTAATATTAGTCCATAAGGATAGAAAATTGTCCTACTAAAAATAGGTCCATGTTTCGGGGTTGCCCCCAAACAACAGAACAGAGTTGACAGGCATTGGGGAGGTACCAGAACAGAATGACCTATAGAC